ATGATGCATGTATTGTATACACCCCTCTACAACACTCAACAGCCTCTTCTCCATGCCCCACTCCAGCCTGGGAGGACTGTTCCTCTCAGGGCAGGATCCTTATCCGTCAAATAATTTTTCTCAAATATTGTCTCAGTTAGGGCACCATGATGCCAACACTTGAGGCCATGGTGAAGCTGGAAGAGCCTACACTTCAAACAAGCTCATAGATGCTGCCAACTTCACACTTCTTGACCACACTGAGGGTTAGCAGAGTGCTGGTATTACAACTTGTTGCACATTATTTTACACAAATACTTTGCACAAGAACCCATGTATGGTGTCAACCTAAGTGTCCACTGGCAGATGACTGGGTACAGAAATGTGGCATAGACACAGAATGGAATATTATTTAGGCATAAAGAACAAAATGCTGTCTTTCAGAGCACCAAGGCTGAGTGCAAGGACACTACACTTAACTGAGATAATAGACTGAGACAGCCAGACACTGCATGGTGTCCCTCACATGTGGAAGCCAAGAAAACTGGTCCCATGTAATAAAAAATACAATTGTGGTTACCAGGGGCTGGGATGTCAGCAGGGAAAGAGGACAAGGAGAGCTTTTGGCTGTGAACAAAATTATAGTTAAATTGAAAGACTAGGTTTGGTGTTCTGTAGCACAGAGGGTGACAACAGTTAAGAATAATTTACTGTGTCCGGCTTGGTGCAGTGGTTAAGGTCCTCGCCTTGCACGCCCAGGATCCCATATGGGCGCTGGTTCTAATCCTGGCGGCCCCACTTCCCATCCAGCTCCCTGCTGGTGGCCTGGGAAAGCAGTCGAGGACGGCCCAAAGCTTTGGGACCCTGCACCCATGTGGGAGACCCGGAAGAGGCTCCTGGCTTCGGATCGGCATAGTATCGGCCGTTGCGCTCACTTGGGGAGTGAATCATCGGACGGAAGATCTTCCTCTCTGTCTCTCCTCTCTGTATATCCGCCTTTCCAATAAAAAAATAATAAAAATAAATCTTTTTTAAAAAAAGAATAATTTACTAAATATTTCAAAAGTGTCAGAGGAGATTTTGAAGACTCCAAATAGAAAGAAATGATCCACATCTATGTAACTGGATATGCTAACTGTATACACAGATCAAATTATCATACTGTGAGGCTGGTTCTGTGGCACAGTAGGCTAAGCTTCCACCTGTGGCACTGGCATTCCATATGGGCACTGCTCTGTCCCAGATGCTCTACTTCTGATCCAGTTTCCTGCTTACGATCTGGGAAAGTAATGGAGTATGGCCCAAGTCCTTGGGTCACTGCACCCACGTGGGAGACCCAGAAGAAGCTCCTGGCCCTTAGCCTTGGGTCCATTCAGCTTTGGCAGCTGTGGCCATTTGGGGAGTAAACCAGCAGATAAAAGATTTTCTCTCTGTCATGCCTTCTTTCTGTGTAACTCTTTCAATTAAAAAATAAATCTATATTAAAATATCATTGTTTTCTATAAACACAACAGTATTACAGTTTGTAGAAAAAAGAATTCAAACATAAGTTTACTTTGCTTCAAAAATTTGAAATTCATGCATTATTTTGTCATGATGTACATTACCATGAATTTTTTTGAGATGTCATTGTATATACAACTATTATGTGCCAATTTCAAACCAACTATATAACATACTGATTTAATACTGATGCCTGAGTTCTACCCAAAGAAATAGTTTCTATTTGCTTGGGCTCCATTGGGCATCAGGGCTTTCAAAGTTTCTCCCGGTGATTCTTCTGCATAACTAAGGTTGAGAATCACTGCTACAAAGTGATTAGAATTCTTTCTTCCACAAGCCTTTCCAAATGCACCATTGGGTAGATTAGCCATCTCTGTAGGCCCCCATGATGGCTGATACCAAGGCCTGGACTTTTCAAATTCAAGCAAGGACCTAGCATAGGGCCACATTCTTGGCATGAGCTCAGTCACACATGAACTCATGGGCAAACTGAAAGACGCTTGCTTTACCTACAGGCTTGGCCAGAGCAGCAACTTACTTTTCATTGTAAAACTGGGTCTTGCGCATTGCTTCTTCCCACAGTTCCTCTGGCAGCTGCTTTCCAAGGAATATCCTACAACCAGGGCTTAGGGATCTTGCAGAGTGTAGAGAAGAGAAGAGATGAGAGTGAAGAAGGAGGGTGACAGTAAAGGAAAGAAGGAACCGGGAGAAAGCGAACTGGAAGACAAAGTGGGGATGGAAGGAAAGCAACAGGGAGGAGGTAAGCAAGGCAAGGTAAGGGTGCTGAAAATAGCTCTTTGTAAGGTATCTGATAATCACCAACCATGAGATACAGTAACAGATTCTGTTGAACTCTGTAAACTTAGGGTCTCATTAGGAGATGACAATCAAGTGCTTGCTTGAGAAATTATGTAGAACATTGCAGCAAAGAGTAGAGGGGAAACCCTACCAGACAACACATGAGTATAAATGTGCACCTGTCAACACTGAGAGCTTAGGCAGCACACAGTTTGAAGAGGGGAAAGAAACTAGCACTGTTGCAATGGACTCCATATTCTGATCATGTTTCAACCAGCACTAAGTGAAGCCGTAGAAGCTGACAAAAAATGAATGTGTAACTTGGGAAATCAAATATTGGTAGGCATTTCCTCTAACTTGTGCCTTTATGTTGCTTAAGACTATTCACTTGGAGGAAAAAACTTTCTCCAGAGCTTCTTGAAAGAGATCCTCAGAATAGCTTATCCCCATTCCCAACCTTGTCATGTATTTTAAAATTAGGGCTGAAGTCTTGCTATCCATGTTTTAGGAGAATAAAGAAGGGGCATTCAATCCATTCAGAGAAGGGACGGTTTGGAATCTTGTCATCTTTTATAAGACATGCTTTAAACTGGATGTGTTGAGCTTGGGCACTGCAAGTCTCTTCAGAGGTATAAAAGCCAGTCCTTAAGAGATGTTCACAGAGGTCATGCCTGTTTGTTCATGGTGGCGCTGCATTTCCCCACGTAGTCACATATGGGGATGGAACGCGATGATCTCACCAGCTGAAAGGGAGTGAGGGCAGGGACCACAAGCTTCCACTTCCTAAAAGGAAACACACTCAGTCTCTCTTAAACATGTAGATGAGCCTCAGTTTCTACAGGGAAATCCAGAGTTTGTGCTTTCATTAAAAAACAAACAAAAATGCTGCAACAAAGCCAAGTTTGTGGTAAGGAAAGCCACCACTTCTACTCACTTGGAGCAAGCATAATGAACCTATTTCATAAGGAACTTGGGCAGGAAAGATGTGTTCACGTGTGATTTAAAGGCCAGTGGCTTAAACACAGGATGCACTGTCGTCCACTGTACCCGGACCCTGCCTTATTTTCCTGACTTCATCATGTTTGTTATTCTTGCAGCTTCTGTCTTCAGTGCTGTACAACTGGAGATGCCAGGTGTCGAGATGAAGGCAGCACCTTGTCTTTCAAACTCTTGACGTGCTCTCTGCTGTTTTATTGGGAACTACAGCTTAGCAGATCTCTGCAGATTGCCCAGCCCCCTCCATCCTCCTGAAGAGCTGAGGAGCTTCCATCCTTGGCCAGGACCAAGGCTGGCTCCTGGTGGGACTCCAGACTCACCCCCACCATGTCATAAGCAGCAAACACGGAACTCTGTGTGCGCACACACACTTGCTGTACATTCCCAAGAAGAACCTCAAACAACAGGATAACTCTGTGAAATGTGAGGACTCACTCAGAGGGCACAAACATGGAGACGGGACATCCCACATGAGGAACAGACATGGAAGAAATGCAGGAGCAATGGACAGGACTCCAGACAAGGACAGAGGCACAGGGACTGCGTCTCACACACACACTGCTCTCCAAGTTTGAAGGAACCTACCTCCTCGATGTGTATGCAGGCCAACCCTGCCCTCACGTGAACTTCCAGAGGAGCCAGTGTCCCACGCTGAAGACCAAACAGGCATCCAGAAGTAGAGACAGTGCCCAAACCCTGATTCCTGTGTGCCGGGCCAATGGTCACGCACCATGGAGAGAGCATAGGGTGGAACTCACAGCAAATCTGTCTGAAAGCCCAATTCTGCCATTCATGAGCAAAGCTGCCTTGCAGACAGGACTTAAAACTTCCTGAGGTTTCATTTTCTAATCCCTAAAATGAGCCATGTTATCATCACAGGATAATGTCTCATCCATTAAAGGCACCTGAGTACGTAGTTGTTCTGTAGTGCCTTGTAGCTCACCAAGCCCAGGTTTGTGGGATAGCCCCCACATACGAGATGACTTCCCACTTCTTAATAAAATTCTGTGCCCCAGGAGACAGACTGGTGTGCACTGAACTGCAGTAACACTGCTGCTAACTGTGACAATAGATACTTCTCCCTCCTACGGGTAACATTGCATTCTACTTTCAAACTTAAACTTGAAAGGTCTCTTACAGGCCATGCCAACACTTTGAAAATAAAACTCCTGTAGTTTCAACATCTTACACGATAGGAAAAAACCTTCTGGAACTTGGGGCTTACCGCGGACTGAAAAAGTTGCATCAACAATAGGGGCCTTATGAACTTGGGCTCCACGCTGTCTCCTGAAGGGATTAGACAGGTCTCATAACGTGTCAGAAGCATAATAAAGAGACCCACGACGCGGTTAAATCCTTCATTGTTGCCAGTATTTTTCCCATGTCAATGCTGAGATTTGAGAAGGCAGAAGGAACTGACTTCACTTTGTATACTTGTCTGATCCTTCAGTACTTCATGAAACACACAAAGTTTTATTTGACTCCTACGGGAAAGCAGTAAACTGGGAAGTTTGTTCCTGAAATCAAATATCAGCAATCAAAACACTTTCAAAGTCCCTTAGAAATCAGAACATCACAGATTTATTACAAAGTAGGGTTCCCCTAGCTTTATAGGTGGCTGTTAACAGTGTTTTATTTCCTTTATACAAAAAGCAGAAATGACAGAAAACAATACCACTGCCCTGGTCTCATGGAGGAACTGAGCCAAAAGTGCCCATAATTACGGGGACAGGGAAGTTCAGCCAACGTTAGCAAACATGCATGCAACTGGAACATGAAATGAACATGGCTGTGTCAGTGTTCTGTACGTGGGCTGGCTCCATCCAATGTTAAAAAACACTTATCCAATCATGCTTTGAAACAGCATCTCTTTAAAAATGAGTTTATATACATTTATCACCCCCAAAAAACGTATCCTAGAGAGTTGAATACTATGAATTTAAGGCATCCTGATACTTCTATTCTTCTGCTGGTGAGGTGGTGTTGTGGTGGATCTACATCCGGTAATTTCCAATGGTGTCCCAGGGACATTGATGAAAGATTCAAAAAAGGAATTTACAAGAAGAGTTCTTTTGACTCTGGCTCAGCAATGTGCTTTATGCTGTAGGATTTCTTCATTTTTCTACTGATGTCATTATGCCTAAGTAGAAGAAAAACCACAAGCCCAAATTAGATAAAACCACGGTCGTTACAAGAGACTACCACTAAACATTTCGCCAAAAATGGAAATTATCCACACACAAACCACACTCAAGAACACTTCATTCCAACAGGGAAATTATTCTCTTTTCATATAAACCACTCTTAAAACAATAAAAGCAACAGTAACATAAAACTCCTAATACACAGTGACTGAACTTTGTTTTTCAGCTCCAGAAGTAATTTCTCAGTCATAATGACTGGAATCTTGGTGTCCTACCATCAAGTGCATTTACCAGAGCCAAGCAGAGATGCGCAGAACTGTTAGCTGTGTAGGAACAAGAGACTGGCATGCACTTTGATATGAATTTTCTGGGAACACTTTTGTTTTCCTCCAAGAAAACTGCCAAAGATGAGCCATGTCCCGAGAGCAGGCAAGCCTGCTGATCACTTCCCACTGGTCCACGAGAGAAAACCTGCAAAGGCCACGCAGCCTGCTCTCAGGGTTCCAGCACACATTGAATGATGACGTGGCTTGATGGTGACCTGGAAGTCACAGTTCTTATCTCTACTTAATCCTTTGACTAAAGCGTCAGAGTTCTCCATTGACAAGAAAGGGAAAGGGAACTTGACAGAAACTCCTTGCTAGCCAAACTTGTGTTCTAGGCATTTCTAATTACACACATTTACCATTCACTTTGAAATTTTCTATTTCAAAGGAAGATTTACAGAAACAAGGAGAGATAGAGAAAGGATCTTCCATCCACTGGTTCACTCCCCAAATGGCTGCAATGGCTGGAATTGAGCCAATCTGAAGCCAGAAGCTTGCTCTGAGTTGTACGTAGATCCAGAGGCCCAGGGAGCTGAGCCATCCTCTGCTGCTTTTCCAGTTCATAAGCAGCGTGCTGGATCAGAAGTGGAGCAGTCAGATATGAACTGGCAACCTTAGAAGATGCCTGTGCTGCAGGCAGAGGATTAGCCAGCCCACCACATATTTATCATCTTGCATTCATCACAACACTAAAATGAAAATCAGTAAACTTTAAAAGGCATATTGATCCTATAGGAATAAGGAAAACGGATGAGGAAATGATAATAGAAAAATGCTAACCATATTTAGTATTTATTCAGAAGAGGGAAGGCAGATGGGCACTTGGGAATGATTTAGCAGTGCAGAAAAAGCAGAAATCTAGGCTTTCAGTCAGCAAACCCAGCATGCTGACTTATAATTATGTTACAGGAAAGAAGAACAACATGCACTTCTGAAGACGACAGCAATTATGGAAAACAGCCAAGAAGCTCTCTACACATGAATATGCAAAAGCCTCCCACATTAGGCAAAAAAAAAAAAAAAAAAAAAAAAAGAAGAAGAAGTACAAGGGCACAATGCAGTAGCCTAACCTAGTGGCTGAAGTCCTCGCCTTGCACACACCAGGGTCCCATATGGGTGCTGGTTCATATCCTGGTGGCCCTGCTTCCCATCCAGCTCCATGTTTGTGGCCTTGGAAAGCAGCTGAGGATGGCCTAAAGCCTTGGGACCCTGCATCCTCTTAGGAGACCCGGAAGAGGCTCCTGGCTTTGGATTGGCTTACCACTGGCCGTTGTGACCTCTTGGGGAATGACTCAATGGATACAAGGTCTTCCTCTTTCTCTCCTTCTCTCTGTATAACTGAATTTCCAATAAAAATAAATAAATCTTAAAAAATAAATGAGTATGCCACTTTTACTACAAACAGGAAGCAAAAAATATAAATTGTATCTGACTGTCAACATTTAGATAAGATATATATTTTTCATCAGCAAATGAGAAGAAGCCATGAGAAAACCAATCAAGTACTACTGGAAACAAATACTGTTGCTGCAAAAGAAACCCAATAGCTAGGGTGGCAGAGAAATGTCAGCAAAAATGCTAGAATGTACGACGACAAAGATAAAAGTGTGAGTAAAATAGGAAGCACAAACAGAAGACCTCAGGATCAGTGTGTCCAAAAATAAAGTAAGAGGATTTTTAGCAGGAATAAAGAGACAAAATGGAAGAGGGGAAATTGTCAAAGAAATTTTACATTTTCTATAACTGAAGCACAAGACTCCAGAGTTTAAAAGCCCACTGGGTGCACAGCCCAGGAATGAAAATAGGCCCACAGGTCGGTGAAGTGTGAAGACATCAAAAGTTTGGGGAAAATTGATTATAGAAGTTTTTAAGGAATTAGCATTCAGACAGGCATGGGCTCTTCACAGACACATGCAAGCAATGGAAAATGGAGTGGCTAAATCACCCCAATTCGGGGGAAGAACCATTGCCGCCTAGAATTCTATCCCTGTCCACACACCCCTCATTTAGTAAACTTAAGAGAGTTTGGGATAGTTAAGGTCTCAAGAGACTTAGTATCTATTCATCTGCTTACCAAAGCAGAATCCTCCAAAACAAGGAACAGACAGGTGCAGGAAATAAGTCTATAGAGGAGAGAAGCCAGAGAGGAATTCTCAGGCAATGAGGATAGGGCTGTGCCAGGGGTTCAGCTGTGCCCAGTGCCAGGCAGCCACCATGCAGCCTGAGGCAGGATGAAGGGACCCTCCCTGCACAGAGCGATACGAAGAGCACTTATGTTATATGAATGCACCCAAAGGTGGCTTCTGTCTTCAGCAAACAGAAGATTTAGACAGCGATGGTGAGCCAAGACATTAAATTATTGCCAAGGATAGTACAAACTTAAACAAGAAAGAAACTTTAACCTGGGACCACGTGGATTCACTGTGATTGGCATTCAGAAAGCCACAATGGAGACAAAGGTGGATTTAACTCCTGCTATCCTGGCAGGGGAGGAGCAGCTGGTGGATGTAAGCCCAGGTGTGAGGATGTAACCCAGTGCTGTATGCTCAACCAGAGTCCCACAAATTTGGTTCACTGATAAAAGTATGCACCACTTTCTCGAACCAGACTGAGTTCAAATCCTGACTCCACAGTTTGTCACGATCTTGGCTGCGTGACCCTGGTTCAAGATACATAACTATCTATTATCCAGTATGCCAAACTTGGATAATAAACATGTCTGCTGCAAAGTGTTACTATGAGGGTTCAAACAATAAACATGTATAAAATGCCTAGAATGTTTTCTGGGATACTGTACATCCAATCATCATTATTATCTGCCATAGTGGTAAGCCAACTGGTAACAGAGAAATTGAAATGGAACTCTGATGGGAGCATAGTTGTCACAAATAGGAAAGTATTAGAAAAATCAAGTGAAGGAAAGGCCAGTGGTGGGCTCAGGGGTGTGGGATGGGCAAGACACAGGGATAGCCGTTTATGGTCACACACCAGTGTTACTATTACATGCAGCTATACTACTTGAATAAGAAACTAAAAACAGAAATGTAAAAAGATGTATATCTTTGTGGACATTTCTACTTGGTCACCAGGGGTGCTAACGGTGAAAAGCACCGAAAAGAATACTTTATGGGACACAACTTGGCATGGCTGGCAGGTGAGTCTACACCAAGGAACATGCTCACTGAGGCACAGATCTGAAGAATATGCAGATAATGCAACCCTCCTGGAGCCCAGCAATCACTTAGCCCTGAAGTGCTAATACCCAAAGTACTGAGTAGCTCTGGCAAGAATAATTCCGCTCATTTGCCACTCCCTGATTACATTACTGGGTACTACTGAACGACCAAACGTGAAAGGGAAAGGTGTGATGTTAAGTAACAGTCCCTTTTTCAAGTAATTTTTAACTTGCGGAGGCACACCCTGTCCCGTCTGCCTGGTTCACAGCACGCAGAAATTCATAGGATCAGATTCAAGTGGTCTGTTCCACAGACGGTCAAAACAGGGATGCCTTGCTAATTTGGGGACCTTCTCAGAGCCACATGGAGAGCAGAGCCATAAATTCCAAGGACCAGAGAGGGGAAAGTGGGGGAGGTCCCAGCATAAAGTACCCCAACCGAAACTCACAAGAGGAAGGTGAACTTGGGACACCAAAGTTTTGGGAGGCTTTTTGTTTGTTTTCCTTTCTCTCTTCTTCCTCCCCTGACTTAGCCTTTCTCCAAGATTTATGAAACTCCTGCCCAGTGCCCAGTGCCGAGCTAGATCCTGAGGGTTACAAACCAGAGCAGTATGGTGCTGTTGAGGGTCAATGTGCAAACAAAACTCACGCCCATTCTTGGAATTTACCATGCTTCCAAAAGATGTGTATGATGACCAAGTCCTATACAGATTCCAAGTGTCTTGCAACAGGAATTCATCTTCCCACACACACAGTGAAGTCCTTGCTTAGGGATTTCGAGTAAAGAAATGCTTGGAGGAGGCACTGAAGGGTGTTTGGGGAAATCCTTCAGTTGGTCCTTTGTTGTATAATGATACTGAGGCCTTGTTGGGGCTTTTAACTGACTGGATCTTTACTCTGTTAGACCTATCTTCAGACCATAGAAGGTCTCCCCAAGAGGCCACTGAACTTATCTGGACAATAAGACGCTGAACTTTATGCTAGGCAGGTGTTTGCAAGCAATGAATCTCAACTGAACTTGAACTATGGTTATGCAACAAGGTGGAGGAATCCACCATGGGGGGAGGGGTATGGGAGGGGTGGGGGGGATCCCCAGCGCCTATAAAACTGTACTACATAATATAATGTAAGCAACAATTAAAAAAAAAAAAAAAAAAAAAACCTATGCACACTATGGCTTCTTGAACACTTTGGCTCTTTCAATGTACTAAGGTGCCCCTAGCGGTAGCAGACCTGCACTGCAAGCCCGGGACTGCTAGAATACACTCCTTTGGGGTCTCAATACTCCAAACTGGAGCAGAGGGAGTAAGGGAAGGAGGGAGGAGGTGGGAAAGCATCCTGGCGTTTTCTGACCACACTTTTTGAGAGCATACGCTCTGGTGGGGGGATGACTAGTTTCTAGGGCGGATTCTCCACGTTCATTTCCCGCCTCCCCAGAGCAGTGGTTGGAGAGGGAATATAGGGTTTTCCTTGTGGCTCATCATACTTCAGCACTGAGCTCTCCCCATCTTCCTGGGATGGGCCCTGTTTTCCCAGATTGTGCAAGGAGCCTCTGAAAGGAAACTCCGCATGTGAGTCATCCTGTCTTTCATCTCGGACACAGAACTCAGTTGTGTTTAGCTAGCTGAGGGATCTGACTTCCTAAACTGTTCCATGCACCCTGCACGTTGTTCTCTACACACAGGATTCTGTCCCAGTAGCAGGCAATCTCCTGCAGTTGTCCTAAGCAACGGCCAAGGGCAACTCAAAACTATGGCTTGATTTAAAAGAAGAAACTCACTCCACTTTTTGTAGAGAAATGGCTCAAGATGCCACGCCATAGGCACAAAGCTTTCATATGAAATACTAAAGGTTCCTTTTGTGAAACCCATTTGCATGCAGGGTCAGGCAGAGTTGGAGTGAGGTGCAGCACCACCCTAGGGCTCTCCTGGAGCATAGGCAGTTGGCTCAGGTTCTGTACTGGCTGTTGTCTTTCAGTGCCTGGTGATCCTGGTAGTCAGCCCTGGACTCCAGTGGCCACATATTGGAAATGAAAACACACAAAAACCTACCTCAGCTCAGGCCACAGGACCTGGGGCTGTGGTTTCTGATTAGAAAAAACCAACTATTTCACTAAACACTTTCTTTTTTTTCATCTTCAGCATACTGTTCTGGCTGTCATACAGGTCAGCTCTGGCCCACCCTGGGGGACTCACCCCTCACCTGTGCCACCAGCACCAACTGGCTGCACACTGGCCACTATGCTTTCCCCTACAGAGATCAGGCACTGAAGATGAAGATGTGCTTATCTCATTACACGAGAGTATGGCAAGGACGCACGTGTGCAGGATGATCAGGGGCCTCTCTGAGTGCTGACTGCATTTCCCCACTAGGGTTCTAGAAATGTGCAGTCAGGGGTCGGGGTGGGGTATGGCTGAGGCACACTCATTGGGAGCAGGTGTCGACCTGGGCCTTGCCTCTGCTTTCCTGATGTCTCTGGGCTCCTGTTTCTGTCTGGTACGATGACATGATTAGAAGAGACATGGGTTTGTGGGTGCTGGGAGTGTGGGAGGCTACTCTCACCTGTCACTGTGCACAGCATTTGTCACATCATCATGGTCTCAAGGGACTAGTCCCTTGAAAGTGGCTGTTGGACAACCTAGAAACTGCCACAACTAATATTATCGCCTGGCTCCAACTCATAACTGCTCGCATGGCTCATTCCTGGGCAGTAAACCCCACACTAAAGGTATTTTAAAGGTATTTTCACTTATTTGTTTTAAATGAGTCTCCTTGAATGCTGCTGCTGGGGTAGGGGACTTCCTGATGTTAACCCTTCAGGCAACAGTGCCAGTGTGGCCTGGGAGAAAGGTGTAGGTGATGCCCTCCGGGTGTGAGTAACCTCAGCCAACGGCACACTCAGGTCCCAGACAGACTGGAACTGACCGAAGGATGCTTCTCAGGCGTTGTAAGACTAGTAATCGCTAGCACTGTCCTGGGTAAGACAACGTGAAGAGAAAGCTGCTCGTTTCTACAGCGAGTCATTCTCTGTAACTGACACACGTTGGGAAAGCTGTTCTAAGTCATAAGGTTGAATCTAACCTTTAGGGCACTGGAAAGAAAACTCAGATACTTTGCTATCAAGCTGTGACCAGCTTAGAAGAATAAATAGCAAGCAGGACCTTATGATGTGATGCTAACGGTTACAATAATCATTGTTTCTTTCACCAGAAAGGAAGGAATTTCTCAGGACGCTGCGCCATGCCTGTCCTTGCTGCCATGCTGACCCGCCCACTGGCCACTCTGGCAGAGTGACTGCCATCAGTCTCCTGATTATCTGACACAAGGAGCTCATCTGGCCTTCTAGCAACTTCCCAGGCCAACACTTGCCCCACTGTGGACAGACTTTCACTGCAGCAGGATTGCAGGGACAGCAGCGACAGGCAGCAATTCCTCACTCCAGCCTTGATTTTCGAGAGGTGTCCCCACCCTCGTCAGCTGGACAGAGGCCTCCTTGCTTCCTCTGTGGAGGGCACTGGGTCAGTTTCTCCCTGCCTGTGTGTGACGCTGAAGCCTTCAGTGAAGCTGGACTCCAGCAGGCAAGAACCAGGGTTCCCGCTTTTATGCAAACTCAAGCCAAACTAAAGCCCCAATAAAGCACAGGCTGATAAACAAGACAGTAGTTGTGACAGAGTCTTAGAGAAGCACACCGAGCATTTTACATTTCAGAGTTTAAGTGTTTGCTGCTGAAAGCAAACTCCATGACTGCATAAAATGAGTGAACGCGAGGGCTTGAACATGGAGCCTTCAACAGGCTGCCGCTCCGGAGCTGGGAGGGCAAGTGTGACCGGGTGGATCTCAGCAACTCCACTGCCTTGTCCTGTGCTTGAGTTTTGCTCACTTGCCTGTGCAGAGAGGGTGAACTATTTTAGGGTGGGAAAATCTGCTGGGATACTCGCTGTCAGCTTCCCAAGGTAGCTACAGGAGCACACACAAAGGAGAACGTTTCTCCTTCGCTCCCAGGCCTTCTGCTGCCTCTGAGTCATTGCGTTTCTCTGCCCTGGGGGTTGTTGATGATGTCTGTTTATGGACAAAAGCAAAATCTGCCTGGCACCACAACACATCGGATCCAGCAAGGGGCTGTGAAAGGCTTTGGGGGTGGGAAGCCAGGGCTGGGGGTGAGACAACAGTGGGCTAACTCCAAAGTCTGGCAGGGGAAGGGGTATTCTTCTACTATTGCCTTCACTCCAGGCCTCCGGCTGTCAGCACTGGCCAAGCTCCCCTGACAAGGGGCTGAAATCAGTGCAGACGCATGCCTCTGGGCAACATGCGAGACTGGTCCAGGCAGTCGCTGGTGACCTGCAGCTCCAAGGCTCAGCCTTCAACTCCTGAATAATGAGATCCCCAGGGGCACCTCCTCAAAAGGACAGGGGCTTGCTTCCCCTGCAGCCTCAACAGAGACCTGGCACAGATTAATCTGATTAAGAGGGGGGGAACCAAAGGAGGATGATTTCCTTATGATTTAGTATTCTGAACTCAATTCTCTAACTTGCAGCTTCTTGTCTCTCTATCCTTCCCTCTTCCTGGAGGAGCTGGAAAAGTACTACATGGCATGTCATGATTTTTAAAGAACAAATTTAGATGACTTTACAGGGCTAGTTGGTGGGGGCTGAGACTGTGGCAGTGGACTGAGCCACCGCCCCCAACACTGGCATCTCCTGTGAGGGTTGCTTTACTTCCAATCTAGCTCCCTGCTAATGCACCTGGGAGAGCAATGCAGCATGGCTCACGTACTTAGGCCCCTGCCACCCACATGGGAGCCCTGGCTGCTTTGGCCATTTTGGAGAGTGAACCAATGGATGGAACACTTCTCTTCTCTGTCCCTCCCTCTCTGTAATTCTGCCTTTTGAATAAATACATTCTTTCTTACAGTCAGTCTTGCTTTAAAGTGGGTTAGGGGTTTAACTGCTGAAATAAACCAGTTAAGAGATGCTGACCGCATTCACTGCCTAGGAGCTATTCCTGCCTCCTCCTCCTGTTTTCCGCTTGCTGAGAAGTCACACACCGAAATGGCAGCAGGTGCCAGCGTTGTCGGAGGAGGGCTTGGCCCCAGGAGGTGCCTGCTCATCACCGGGGACATGAGCCTCTCTCTTCTGTGGGCTCAATCCACACTTTCCACATTGCAAACCTCTTCTCTGACACTGGGGGACACTTTCAAGGCTGGCTCATGGCGTGAGATTACGGTTTCCAATGCCAAGTTGGAGAAATTTCATAGTGGCAAAGCCTTGCTTCTCCTGAGATCAGCAGAATGGTGACGAAAGGAGCCTTCAGTCTGTAATCAGCCCCCAAATGAAACCCCAGCTCGGTTTCAAAGTTCTGATTCTGATCAGGGACTGACTCACTCCACCCAGGGCAGGAAATTTAATTTCAACCCTTTCTTGTTACTTGACGCCACTGAAACAAAGACTGAGTGCCAAAGGCAAGGAGGATACACAGTGAGGGAGAGAACAGAGCAGATTCCTCTATAAGACCCAGCCACCAGCCCATGCCTGCCGTTAGGGAGGGAGCTGGCCCACGTGTCCCTCCCCCTGGCATCATGCCCGGCTGAAAGGTGCTCTGGGGCCTGTACAGACCAGCTCAAGCGATCCAAAGCAAAGGTATAACCAGTGCTGCACAACGCCATTGCCCGCCCCACGTACCGTGCACAGCCACGCAGAGGCTCTTCAGTCAGCATGCTAGAGGACAGACTGATGCAGCTGCCAAACATCCCCTAGAGAGGTGCAATTAAAAAGTCATCTGAGAACATGCAAATGGCTCGGCATGTGCGCAGGCCCAACTGACACGAGGCATGCAGGAGAGAGATGAGAGAAGAGCAGGTTAGCCCACACTGCAGGAGCACCCAGCACTGCTGAGGTGGTTCTTCTTGTGCTACTGAGCCAGAGAGCCCACTGAGCTACCTGGAAGGTTTTATTCAAGTGACTTAAGGTTAAGACTTTTGGTGTCTTAGATCCAAGTGTGCCTATCCTAGCTGAAAACATTCACGCTTCCGTGTCCTCCGCAGCAAGTGCTAAGTGAGCAATAGTTTTTCTGTCCAATCAGAGGACACTAACTAAAACTTGATTTGGTAAGAAAAAAATCTAAACAGTTCTTAGACCTCACCGAGATAGGACTTTCAAAAGTATGGGGATTGTGACGATGTATGTGGAGGTCCCTCTGAATTGTTGGGTGGATGGTCTGAGTCACCGAGTTGCACAGGGCTGCTACACTGCTCCAGGACGAGGCAAGCACAGACCATGCAGGAAACACTGCCTCAAAGATGTGCACTTCTCTTACTCACTGGATATAAACCATGGCCTGCAGAACACAGTCTCCCAATAAATACAACTAAAACAAAAGCAGTTCATGGCACACTCTGCCATCTCCCATGTCCTGGCAAACATTTCCCGCTCTTATGGCCTCTCAGGAACACTGGTAGGTCTGTGTTGTAAAATGCCAATGCGGAGGCCCCTGTGGTGTGTTCAAGGTCAAGCAGGTAAGAGTACTGAGCAACAGCACCTCTACTTATGCACTTTTTCCACTGGGTTTGAGGATAAAGGAGGCAGGCCCATGAGGAGAACAAACTCTTTCTGGGGCCGAATCTGCCCAGGAGGGCCGTGACTCTGCATGATTAGTGGTTTCATCTAACAAACACCTCCCAATTGAGGAGTCCTAAGCCCCAAGGATGAAGGCATTTAGGGGTAATTTAGGACCAGATGGAAATTTTCTGTGATTTATTTACCATTCTCTCTTAAGAGAGTTTTCCAGGGGGAGAACAAAGGCAATGTACACTAAAGGGCCATGAATCCGACTTCCCAGCATTCCCTCAGGGTGGCTGGGGCCCCAGTGGGCAGTGTCAGGCAGGACACGATGGACTTAAGGGGGGAAGAGAGGAAATGTCCCACAAGCACTCACTGCCTTGCTTTTTCCTTTGCCAGCAGAGCTCACGAGGGTTCCCTTGGCATCTGTCATCTTCCTTCCGAGTGAGGTTAAGGGCAAGGTCGAGGTCTTCAGCTGACTGGCTGTCTGTGAGTTATTGTTGTTGTTCTGGTTACCACTTAGTGTCTCCATGATGGACCGGAAGGTCCCAAAAGGCCTTTTCAGCTGATCCCCTGACTCGCTGCCTGGGGGGGCCCGGGGGGCGGTCCTGCACCGGTCCTTGTCTCTCTCCCCACTTGGATCGGTGTTTGCTTGCTCCATCTGTACCACAGGCTCCTCAAAAGTAACTCTGAGTTTCAAGTTCTGGGATGTCCGGCGTTTGGACGAGGGGGACTTGAGGGCACTCTTGGGACTGGTGGCCACCTTCTGGGCTGCAGGGCTGTCGGGGCTGGGCTGAGTGGAGTCTCCAGGGCCCTGGCCTGGGGCAGTGTTCCCAGGGCTCACGTACTGGGATTCCACATCTGCTTCGCTGCTCTCTGATGTGGGAGACGGGCTATGGCCATCCAGAGGTTTAGAGGCCTTGATACCAAAAGGAAACCTGCGTGTGGACGCCACGCTGTGCTTCTTTATCATCAGGTGCAGGCTCTCGGCACTGTCCACACCCTCCACACTCTCAACCACGGGCTGCGGCCTGGGTCTCTCAGGCTTCCTCAGAGGGGTGGCCTTGGGGTCCTCGGCGTTGGTGGTGTCTGTGTCGGACTCGCTTAGTGACCTCTGCATCAGCTGCCTCAGCCTGGCCAGCTTCAGCTCTCTCTTTTCCACTGGGATCTTCTTTGGGTTTCTAGAGGAAGCCTGGGCATCCTGGAATTCCAGGGACAGCTTTTCCTGGGTGCAGACATTCTCCGAGATTTCTTTGCCCAGTAGCTGACGTAAGATTTTGTCAGGATCTTCATCTTTTGCTCTGGCCCTGGCCCGGCTGCAGGTGGACAGGCTGCCAAGTGCTGGAATCCCCTCTTGGAGCCCTGGTTTGCTTTTGGCTGCAGACTCCTCCTCTGCATCTGGAGACTTCCACTGGGCATTTCTAGAAGCAGGTGAGGATGGGGAACTGTAAAGAGGAGGGAGGAAGTAAGAGAAGGTTTCCTGTTGGGATTGGCTGACCAGGCCTCAAGGAGCTCCTAGGACTTTAATGCCACTAGCCATTTGAAACCAACACACATGGAATTAAGTATAATCACTTACTGTCTTTTCAAAGCAATTCACAGCCACCACCATGGCATAGCATGCCCCACACTGCATGCAGGGACCACTATGATTGTTAAACACATCTGCGGGTTCACTGTTCAGACATCAGCTTTGCAAGATTTTTCTAAGTCCCATTTTCAACAACTTTACAAACCTATACATCATTATTTTCACTTTACACACAAAGAAATTAAAGAAGCATAAGGAATAAGTGACTTGTGACAGTGCTGGAATAAATAAATGGCAGAATCTAAGACTGGCCCAGGTCTCCTGACTTTATGTCCACTGCCTTTATTCACTGTGATGGCTCATTTTAAATCCCTCTTCATTAGAGTAGAATGCTCTCTGTCATCATCCTCTCAGAAGACATTAAAAGAAGCACAGAAGAAGGCTCGGGGATGTAAAATACTTCAGGATTCTAAAGCATGAGTGCTGAGTTACCTGGGAGAGGAAGGGAGAGACTTGCCCTCTGAGTTCTGGGCTTCCAAAAGCTGCTGCAGCTGAGTCTGGAGGGTGACACGCTCCACCGTCTGTCTGTAGAAACAACAAAAACCCGTAAGCCTCTAGTGACTGGCACTGACCATGTGAGAGGGTCGATGGTCTTCCATGATCTCCAGCAAGTTATGATCAATTCAATAACCTTGACAATGTTTGTGGTCATCACCCTCACACGGCACACATTTTCTAAAGGAAAAAAAAAATCAAGGGACAACGTTGTGGCTTAGAGCGTAAAATCTCTGCATATGATGCTGGCATCTCGTGTGTGCATGTATCCCAGCCTCTCTGCTTCCGATCCACGTGCCCAAAAAGTTACCTGGAAAAGCAGCAGAAGAATCCCAAGTACATGGAGCCCCGTCACCCACGTGGAAGACCCTGATGAAGTTCCTGGTTTGGCCTGGCTTAGCTCCAGCTATCACAGCCATCTGGAGGGGTAGGGGATTGAACCAGCAGATGGAAGAGTTCTCTCTATACTTCACTTTTTCTGCGTAATTCTTTGAAACAAACAAAAACACACAAATCTATCTTAAAAAAATCAAAAGTACCCATATGGGTATTTATTTTCAGGTTAGTGAAACACTGTAAATAAATGCTCATCAATAAGATCAAGTGAATAAATCATTGTTATAATAGAAGCTATTCAAGATGACTTACTCTGTTTATATAGAAAAAGTGGAAGGATAGTAAAATATTACTCCTTCTACACTGAGTTTTTACAATAATTAGTTTAGTGATCATAAAAGCACTAAACAATAAAACAAGCAGACTACTTACATTTTGGGTAAAATCAATGAATTTTTTTTCCCCGTGGAAGGAAGACAATGCATGGGAACACTCTATTCCTTCTGGCTGTAAGAGCATGTGTACTAGAAAGTGCTTCAGAATTCAAAGTCACAGATTACAGAGCTCTCCATCTGAGCATGCGCACTGGAGGCCCAGCAGCCGTACCTGTGAGCCCCGCTAGGACTGTGTATGTCCAGATTACAGAGAGATCTCCATCTGAGCATGCGCACTGGAGGCCCAGCAGCCGTACCTGTGAGCCCCGCTAGCACTGTGTATGTCCAGATTACAGAGATCTCCATCTGAGCATGCGCACTGGAGGCCCAGCAGCCGTACCTGTGAGCCCCGCTAGCACTGTGTATGTCCAGATTACAGAGATCTCCATCTGAGCATGCGTACTGGAGGCCCAGCAGCCGTACCTGTGAGCCCCGCTAGGACTGTGTATGTCCAGATTCGAGATGATTAACCAGTAAGGCCCATTCAGACACTGGAGGTCTTTGATAAGCTCATTGAAAATATACATTAAAAAAGACTATTCATGGATTCCGAAGCTCTGAATTACAAGTATGCTGTCCTCAGAGACATCCCTCTACACTCCCATCACCAGAAGGTGTGTAATGTCACCTCACCTGGCAATGGACAATCAGGGTGGCCTATCACCTGATGTGTACCCTATATTTCCTAGTGGCGGTACAATCTCTTCATGTTAGAGTCGAAATGTGAGAATGTCTCACCTGTGTTTGCTCCCTGAATGCTGGAGGAAGAGGGCCAGGAGCCAGGGAACTCAGCAGCCTCTTGGGCCTTAATCTCTGCCCTTCACTTGCCAAGGGCTGACTGTGCCGACAGCCAATCAGAACCTCCAGAAAGGAGCTCTGCCTGCCAGCATCTCATGTTAGTCCAGGGAGGCTTCTCCCAGCCTCCCAACCCACAGAAATGTAAGGTCCATTTATGCTACCTTTACTTTGTGAAAATGTGTTATAGAACAGGAGAAAATACAAAATGAGAACCAATGGTAACAGCCCTTCTAAACTGGGGAGCAGAACTAAATAAAAGAGCAGTGTTGAGATGATGCCACGCCGTGGGTAAGGGAGAGAGGAATTTCAGTCTTCTGGTTCTGTCGGCTGGATTGTTTGCTGCTCCGTAACTCCTGTGTGCCTGGGTCAGCCTCTGCAGAGCCAAGTCACCGAACTGCCCCACTCAAAGCCTCAGGCACTCTCTTTGCTTGTCTCAGGAAATAATTCTGAGTCCCGACTTTTCATCCCTAAGAATGGAGAAGTCTGTGATCACATGCTATCTTAGTGATCTTGCCAGACTCACCTATTGAAAATTTAACTGCCTAAAGTAGGCAAACTTTTCATTAAGAGCCACAGAGTAAATATTTTGGGCTTTGAGCCATATGGTTTCAATCACAACTATTCAATCTGTCCTCTATAGCATGATGCCAGCTCTATACAACACATAAATGAGTGCATGGCTATGTTCCAGTAAAATTTTATTTACAAACACAGGGGCATGCTGGATTTGGCCCACAGTCTGTGAAGTGCTCTGGCTCTGGTTTCATGAAATCATAAAAACCCAAAACTCATTAGAGTCTACTTTTCCCACGTTGCTGCTTGGTACTGCATGTCTAGGTTCTTGAGGGAAAAAATGTTTTAGGGTTCAGGAACATTACTTGTCCCTTACAGAGGCTTAACTAGGATCTTACAGTGAATTATGACACAGTCAAAAAAGCTGTAGGGAACACATGGAGTACATGATGCTTGGACAACACAGACTCTCCTCTTAAGAAGCCCTCAGACCGGACTAATCAGCTTCTTCCACAGCAAGAAAATGCAGGAGCTGCTGTCTGCTGTGTCAGTGCTGCGGGGCTGCTGTGACCAAGCACCACAAGCCCCATGGCTTCAAGAACAGAAACTGACTCTCGTCGTTGCAGAGACATGAAGTCCGAGGTCAAGGTGGTTTCTGCCAGGGCTGTGGAAGGGTCCACAGACACACATTTTGTCAGTTGGCTAACCGTGGTAGTCCTTGTCTTGTAGATTCATCGCCGCACTCTTTGCCTCCACATACATGTGGTGTTCTCCCTATTGTATGAGTGACTGCCTTGCTCACACATTTTGTAAGGACACTGGTCAGAATGGATTAGGCCTGCCTCACGACTTCTTTTCAACTTGGTGACTTCTAGAATGACCCTATCTCCAAACAAGCTCACGCCTGAAGGTGTCAGGGGTCAGGACACCAACACAGTCTTCGCAGATTTTGTCCCCCACTGTATCTCTGCTTGCTGACGAGGAGGAGCTTGCCATTTCATGAGGAGCTGACAATGGACCCCAACAGCGTCTGCATCCAGAATTTTGGACTGGGAAGACCAGTAGCTTTCTTCTCTGCTTCTGGACAGTTCTACGTTTATCAGTGTCCAGGGTCCTGCCAGGTAGACTGCCGTGGTACTCACTAGCAGATCCTTCCACTGATGTCCAGTCTTGCCAACCTCACCGAGGCTCGTGGTAATAGGAGACTAAATCTCTCATAATTTACTTTGTCATTGTCCTACTGCCAATTCATTGCATTCAAGTCCGGAGGTCACTGAGAGACTGTTACCTGCAGCAAATATGAGTCTTTTATCCCGGGATCATCAACAGAGAGGGGTTCAAGACCTAATTCTTCAGCAGTTCACCAACAAAACAGCTGCTGTGGTTCATGGAGCTTTTCCGATTCGGTGAGGCCAAGATGGAGAATGTTTTCACCACCTTCTCTCTGAGTATGAACCTTTAGAAAAATACTGTAGGAGATCCTTCTCAAGTTCCCCTTAGAGTATAACACCAGATCAAGTAGACAACTGGAGAATATTTTTGTAAAAACATTAGGCAGTATTTCTTCACATTTCAATTATGGAAACCTGTTGTTTCAGTATTTCCTAGGAATTTATGTAAAGAAATATATATCTAAAGGCATTTCTAAGACATACTCCAAAACCATATACACAAGTACATTCACTGTAGGGAGACACTTGCTTAATTACTGGTCATGTGCACTTTCCCTTGAATTTCATTGAGGTGTCCAAGCCCACCCGGCTCCCCTGTCCTGGGGGAAGTACTTGAAAATAACCCCTTATTAAAAAAATCCCACATCTTATTTTTTAGCAAAAGTCTTAACTCATGAAAGAGCTCATGATAGGTACTGGAAAGGAATTTGGGGACAGGGACTTGCACCTCTGGGGTGGCAGTGAGAAGACGGAGATGGAGAGCCCAGAGCCTTGTCATCTGTGGCATGACTCATATGCATAGCCAGCTAAGGTGTCTCAGCTATCACAGGCCTTTCCCTAATACACTGTATTCAGAAATCAACGCATTAACATGTATGTGTACATATGCGCGCACACACACACACACACACACACACACGGAAATTCCAAACTGGCCACTGCGATTTCTGGTTCCCCTCTGTGGCACCAGGTCCTTAGTCCTCCACTTCCCCAGGGCCCACCCTGATAGATTCTCATCAGGTCCCCCTTTTGTCAAGCAAATCACAGCTATCTCCCAGAAATGCTCCCCTGCGCACAAGGACCTGTCCAATGGGTACCTGCTTAATGACCTCGCCAACTTCAGTCGAGGCACAGGGTTTTAAGAACTGCTGATTGACCACCACCAGTATTTTCTCTCCTGAGGATTCATGATTTCATTGCTTCATTTTTATAGTAAATGTGTTGTGATCCTTATCAAGTGACTTATTTTAAATTTATCAAATATACATTTGACTTTTTGAGAAAACTGCGAACCTGGTCCATCTCTGGCACTCCTTCTCCCTTCCACTGCACTCCTGACAGCTTCCTGGGACACTAGGCACAGCTGGCATCTGAATGTGCTCTCAGTCTCCTGGTATGTAACGGAGCCTCAGGTGAGAACAGAGAGGCAAGCTGTTATCTGCCACAGGGAGAACTTTCTGTCTAGGGTGCTTGCTCTGCCCAATGCTGTCTAATTGCCATTTGTTACTGCAGAGATGCCATCTTCCCAGGGACACTGCCTGTGCAGTTGTGGGACAGAGGAAGAAAAGCAGCTGGGGGGAATGCCTGGAACTCCCACTATACCAGGAACCACGCATGCCCACCCCAGCTCAACCTGTGCCTTAGTACGAGTCAGGTGGTCCCCAGGGGAGCCACACGCCACTTACTCTTTGAGCTGCTTGGTCAGCTTCACCACCTGTGAGGCCAGGGACATGCAGGTCTCCACCACCACCAGGTACCGGGAGCACAGTGTGTGGCCATGCCGTTCAGCACTCTGGGATGGCTTCTCCCCGGCGTGGTTCTGCATGGTTACGTTTGCTCCGTATTCCACCAGAGTCTGTTGGGAAAGGTGGAGAAGTCTGTCATTGCATGCTGGGTAACGCTGGTTCCTAATGACTGTAACACAACGTGGAACATGACTTTGCCTGTTATCTCAACATCTGTTACCTGAGGCAGGGTGCTGGGCAAAACACCTGCCCAGCCAGACTAGTGTTCTGTCAGCAGGGCAGCCCCCGCAGAACCCACCCCACAAGGAAGCCAAGGACAGAGGGGAGATCTGGGTGGCAGAGGAGTTGCTGAATCCACAGAGGCCCTTCCTTGGTGAGATGTGCAGTGGGCTCCATTCATGAAATTGAGGATGCCAGGAAGGGGACAGTGGAGTGGTATGTACCTGTCGCCATATTCTTAGGCTCTGGGAACCTGTCGTAAGGGTAACAGCTGCTAATGCAGGTGGACAAGTGGCAGGGCAGACAGTAGGCAGGAGGGGGAGCATTCCATACTCCTGCCAGGGCCATAGTGTGTCTGTGGCCTGGGCAGATGCTGCAAGCTCGTCCCCAGTTAAGTTCCTCACTGAAGGTGGGGATGTGTCAGAGGCCGGCCATGCCTCACTTGCTGTCCCTGGCATCTTGAGTCTAGCCTGGGCTGGGTAGCCCGTATTGTTTCTCAGGCAGTAGATCTGAGTGCTCATAAGCTCATAAGGGTGTCACAGAGCCTGGCCTAGGTAAGTATTAGCACTAGAGGAGTGAGAGTTGATAGAACATGACAGAACTGGATCGTTTTTAATAGTGTGACATGACACAGACTAGGATAACAGCAGTAGTCACTGACAGACTGGTGGATGATACCGTGATAAGATGGCAAACTCCCGGTGATTGGGTAACTGTTTTCTTCCACAAATAGAACTTGTACCATTAAAGTCTAGGATTGGGCTACGCAGGAGCTTTATTTTCCTTCTGGCTGATGACTCCTTGCCAGGAAGGGTCAGCCTGCCACACAGCCCTTGTCGCCTGCTTCCCAGGGCTGGCCCGGAGACTGCAATAGCACCGTGCAATCCGGAGATGCAATGGAGACTGACTCCCTGTGCCACCCACTGGCTCGGGTTTCTTCCCACTGCTTTCCTCGTGCAGTTCCTGCCTCACACCATGGACCCTTTTCATCTGTTTTTCCCCCTCACTGCTCTCCACATCCTGCTCACAGAGGCTTTCCCAGGACCATCCAAGTTTTTACATCTCTGGTTCCTGTGCCAAGAACATCACTTGTATTAAGTGGAGGGACGACCGCGATGAAAAGACGGGCCGAGGGGCCGCCTCTCCTCGCTTATTACGAAGAAAAATAACTAAAATCAGAAACGCAATCAGGGAGAGCCAGTTTTCTTTGGCTTTCAGTCATTTAGCAGCTGATAAAAAGTTTATTTCAAGACTATTAAGCATTACAGTGTCTTGTTAAACGCAACAGCACAGTTATCGGTGTTTATTCAGTTATCTTTATCTGCCACAAAACCCCAACACTATGCCTTTCATCTTTATGCAGATCCTGGTAAGAACTTACATTTCTTTCCTGTCTAACTCTCCAATTTCTTATCTCTCCTTTTAAAACTTGCAGCCTTAAACCAGAAGATGCATGCTTTTCCAACAATAATGAGAAGTCTTTCAGACATTCAGGATATTTCCAACACAATGTCAGAGCTTCATCTATAAGCCAGAGCACAGCTTCCTGAGAGGCAGGGAGTGTGTTACATGTCACGATTATTTTTCATTTTAATTGACACTTAATAACTTCTTAGTTATCAGGCAATACTTATAACATTTATTTAATGGTATGAACTTGCTGCAGAAGTATTTTCTCTGATTATAAATGTCAATGTTACATTGTCATTTCCCTCTCCCCGCATCTCAGGTAGATGTGGGAATGAGTCCACAGATGTTGGGCCATCTTGAACAGAAACCAGGGTATGTTTTCTACTGAATCATAGAAAGCACAGTTATTTTGCTCATTATGATTTATGTTAATGAATAAAATTCCAGGGTCTGGAACTGTAGCATAGCTGATAAGGCTACTGCCTACAGCACCAACTGTCTACATGGGTGCTGGTTTCAGTTCTGGCTTCTCTACTTCCAATCCAGCCCCCTGCTAATGGCCTGGAAAGATGGTTGTGGAAGATGGCTCAAGTATTTAAGCCCCAGCATCTCGGTGGAAGAATCAGATGAAGCACTTGACTCCTGGTCCAGCTCGGCTTGTTATGGTCATCTGGGGACAGGGGAGTGAATCAGTGGATGAAAGACCTGTGTCTGTCTCTAATTCTGCCTTTCAAATAAATAAATAAATAAACAAGCAAATAAAAAAAATCCAGGCCAAACCTCTATAAACTCAGATGGATTTGCGTGTGTAGCCTCTCCTCTCTAACTTCCTTCTCTCTTCTCTGCGTTGCTGCAACACTAAGGGCTGTCGCCTGCTAAGCCATGAGGTCTACCTGGTTTCAGCAGTCACACCAGCAAATTTCTGGGGATCACAGCGGGTCCTCTCCATCCACCCTCTGAGGGCTGTCTGATGGGGACCCAGGGCTGGCTCAGCTTCAGGCAGTTCTGCACTCAGCCTGGGGGAACAGGGCTATATCCCTGTCCACAGGAAGCCTGTGCCTTGGGAGGCCCCTCAGGAGACCTGTGGAGGGGTAGCAGGCCCTTCACATGGAGCCCCTTCTCCCCGGACTCTGCACCCCAATCCACTGACCTTCTTGTTCACATGGGACATCACAAGGTGTGGCTGGCTGCAGGATTCGACCATGTGCTGCCAGCAGGTGGGAGGGTCGGACAATCACGTCCAGCCTCACCTTAAGCAAGGCACAAGAGGACCAACATCTAGGGCTTTGCCCCAGTTCTCAGCTTTGAAAGGCATGTGTGGATCTCTGGAGCAAGAGGGAGACCACAGCATTCTCAGCATTCTCTTCAGTGTCTGCTACTCCCTTCTTTGAATACTGCTAAAAATCTGTCCTTTTTTTTTTCTCTACTATTTTGTGTGTGTGTGTGTGACATTTTTATCTTGAAACCTGAAAGGTAGAGAGAGGGTCAGAAACACCTTTCATCTATCACCCCCAAATTTCCCCAATGCGTGGCCAGGGTCAATTCTACACTTGGGAACTCCAGTTGGGTCTCCTCCTTGATGCTGGAATTCCAAGTACTTGAGCCAGCCTTGCTGCCCACCCTGACTGTGCAGTGGCAGGAAGCTGGATCAGAAGTGGGTTGGGGCTTGAATCCAGGCATTCCAATAGAGAATGTTTCAAGCAGCAGCTTAACCACTGTGCCAAATGAGCACCCCTCTCCTGTGTCTCAGACATCTGGGCTATGCAGGAAAGGTGGGCTGCCTGAGCAACCCGGGTAATCGGTGTCACAGTGGTTTTTCCACTGTCTTGAGGACAGGCATATTTAATGTGTAAGGCCCTCAGCACCAGAGCCTTTGGGCAATGTTGACAGGACAGGGTAAGTCCTTCCAGCAGCCTGGGACATGTAAGCAGAAACTCCGAGAGGGTATTCAGGGCCTTATTTGTGTGGATTTCTGGAAATACAAAGAGGTCGATACCATTCCTTTCTGTCCACTATAATGCAAAGTGGTGACACAATCCAGGCATTGTCCTCTAGTGAACAGAACCTCCCTGTGGGTGTTATCATTTGATTCCCTGCGTACCTGTATGCAGCCCAGGAAGCCGTGCTGTGAGGCCACATGAACGGCACTGTTGCCATCCTGGTCCACCTCATCCAGTGAGATGCCCTGCTCTTGCATGAACTGAAGCAGCCACAGAAGAATCTTCTCCTACAAACACAGAGACAAGTGAGGTTAGAGGAATGCCTTTCAGAAAAGTCAAACCTTATGCAAAGGCAGAGGAACAACCAACCGCAACGTGTGAAGTTGCTTATCAGATGCAGAGAAAATCCCCCTGCAGAATGAACCAAAGACCCAGGACTCACTGAAACAAATGTCAGAGACCCCACGGGGAATTTTTGGAGCAGACAGTAATATTACAAATGCCTGCATTTTACTTACTGACTCTGAGATGGAAAAACAGAGTCACAAGAAGGAAAACCTCCTCAAAGCCATGTGGCTAGACTGATCAAAGCAAGAGCCCGATCCCAGGTCTTCAGATTCCAACACATGCAAGGCCACATGTTACACAGTCTGGAGGCTTCAAGAGTATTATCACAGAACCTGGGCTAGAACTAGCGTCTAGCTTTCAGGGTAATTTTAAAACATGCCTTCCTAATCCCACATGTTCCGCAACCACAGGCTTACAGAAAGAGGCAGCATCTCAGCTGGCCATCACAACCATAATGAGAGAAAACCAGCACTCTGGATTTTTCTGACCAACTGTTGGTGGTATTTTAAAGGTAAAGTTATTTTTTTTCCTCCCATGTTACAGGCAGGGAACCAACAGCTCTGAACACAAGCCATTTGAAAGCACAAAGCAGTCAGTACGTTCTTGTCATAATCTGTTTTTATTTTATCCACTGAGTGTTTTGTGGCATTTTCCTGTTATGCTTGGCCTTTGCAGAAAGCAGGGGGATGGGATTTCACTGTTTTAAAATAGAAGAATTAAATAAAAAGTAAAAAAAAAATATGAGAGTGGTAAAAACAACAGCATGAAGTTTAGTGGGTGGAATGTGACATTTAAAAAAATGATCATGTGTTTGAAATAGCCTTGAACTTCTTTCTTCTTAGCCTTTTAAAGGATTTCTTTCCAGTTATTTGCTCAGATGGTCATGAACTTTTATACTTTTCTGGATTAAATTTGCCTTCAACTTCTGAACATGCCAACTACCCTGCCAAAGGAATGCCGGATGAAACCAGCCAGCTCCTTTCATGTTTCCGCCTTATGCTGGGCAAACGGGACACTGTTTACGAAGCCATCTGAGACATCAAGGGCAGGCTGCACATTTGCTCCACACTTTTCTCCCAAATGAGTAAGACCCTTAAAGAGCAAGGAGAGGAATATGTAATCCACGTCTGCAATCTACCAGGACTGCTCTGGAGGAGCAGGGTGAATGTTGGCTGCACAAGCACACAGGCTTCCTGGGAAGTCAACTCCACAACAGGCACTGGAGGAACAGGCCGGGCGGTCCTGAGGTGAGTTCAGCATTGGGTAAGGAAGTACCCACATGCTTATCACAAAGGTGGAGCTGGTGAACAGAGACCACTGCAGGAGCTCCTTCCTTCGCTCCTTCCTCTATCCCTTCCTTCCTTCCTCTATCCCTTCCTCACTCACTCACTCCCTCTTCCTTCCTTTTATTTTCAGATTTATTTATTTTTATTGGAAAAGCAGATCTACGCAGAGAAGGAGATGCAGAGATCTTCCAACTGCTGGTTCACTCCCCTAGTCATCCCAAAGGTTGGAGCTGAGCTGATCCGAAGCCAAGAGCCACGCGGGTCCCAAGGTCTTGGACCACCCTCTGCTGCTTTCCCAGGCCACAGCAGGGAGCTGGATGGGAAGCAGGGCAGCCGGGACATGAACCAGCACCCATGTGGGATCTCAGTGAATGCAAGGCAAGGACTTCAGCCATTAGACTATTGTGCTGGGCCCAGCAGATGTTATTTTGACAATGCATGACGTAAAATACCATTTCCTTCATCTTTCCTAACTATGTAGAGAAGAAAACAACTGGATTACTTTGTGGAAACAGACGGTTGCATGATGTGATCTGAACTCTTTAAAAATCTGGATGAGCAAAGGTGCTTTAGGACAAAAGACAGGACCAATTGGTTTGAAGCCAACAGCTCAGACGGTGGTGCTTGCCTGGGGCCAGGCTGCTAAGCCTCAGTGGAGGAAGGTAATACTATCTGCAAGGCAAACTCTCCTTGGTGGGTCATTTCCATGCTTGTAGTGGCTTGATTTGCTCTGTCATCCTGAGTCCTGGATTCTTCATGCTGCAGAATGGGAAAGATTTTAGGGAATCATCCAATTCACTCACATAGCCCTTATTTTATAAATGAGAAAACTGACCAGATAACTGCATATTCTAGCATGATATTCTAGCTGCTTTTCTTTCTTTGTTTTGTAAGTTAATCTCAGTGGTATTCAGGATAGTAAGAAATGTTTTATGTGACTGTCACCTGCATGTGTGCAAACACACACACACACACACACACACACACACACACACACACAAAACGCCTTTTAAAAAGGTAGTGGGGGTGTAGGCAATGGAAAGCAGCATTTTTTTTAAAGAGTGGCAGTGTTTTTGCTGTGGAATCCATTCAAAACTGCAAGCCCTGGACTTTGCAGGCACTGAGGAACCTGGGAGAACAAGACACACAAGGCCGGTGTGAACCAAGGGCTGTCTCAGCCCCAGAGGGCCTGCTAATAAGACTTCAAGTTCAGGTTTGTGTTCCGAGGAGGAGCATTTACTTGAATAAAGAGATTCGTAGTTGGCCTGTCTCCTGAGATACTTCATGAAAACCAAAACCTCTAATACCAAACAGAGCAAAAAGTCCATCCAAAGGGATTGACTGGCTGGCTTGGATCCTGGTCTTGAAGGGACGACTAGCACCTAGGGTGAGGATGGTCAGAACGCACGGTTTTGGTAAAAGCACACTTGGCACACACTCCCAGGCTTCTGGAGAACATGCCCGTGGGGACGCACAGCTCAACAATGACTTGGCTGACATTAATAAAGACATGACTAGAGATATTTGCAATGTTGCACATTTTCCCTTTTAGCCCCTTAGTGTTTCTCTCTCTCTCATACATGCACAGGTATGTCTACCGGGAGGCAATGCTAAAGTGCAATGTAGCTTTAGACACTCATTTTCCTGTGAGTGCTGCTTCCTGTCACATCCACTGCAGTCACTGGATAGAGGGCCTCCTGCACCGTCCACTTCACAGACTTTCTCTCCTACTTGCATTTCGTCCATCTGCCCATTCAGTTTCCATCTGTTCACTGAAAATTTCCTTCATGTAATATTCCTTCTTCTGGAGACTTTCTGATATTCTATAACCTGTTATAATGTTCTATGTTATGCATATCTAAAGGCAGGAAAATTTGCTTAAAGAGGCAATTAACATATATATAATTTATGATCTTTACAGGCCCGTGGAATCACTCTGGCCTAGTAAGTGACCTGTTCTTTATAAAGTGCCCTTAAGCAATTTGCGCCAAAGCAAATATTTTAGAGTGGAGAATATACACGGCACAGGCAAAGGTACTTTCAGAAAACACTTAACACTAGCCATGGATACCCTGGCTCAAGAGTCCATGCGAATGTAGCAGAAACAAAGGGAATCTCAGGATTGATGCTGAAAGTAACATGGAGCCCACTGGGGTCAGTGACCCGTGCCCATGCCACCCCCCCCCCACCCTGCGGAGCTGGGGCTGCTGAGGGTGCCTGGACAACAATATCTGAACCTGCGTCCTTAAATAACGCAGCCCTGGACACACAGGCAGAGATGTAGAATGGAGAGGATTCTGTTCCGACAGCTCTACTGGCAACAGCCCTCTCCCAAGACGGGTAAAGCAGCCTATGCCAGGACACCCCTGCTTGTTCTGAGTCTCCCCAGGGCGTTCACCTTCTTGCTCCCCATGGCTGGTTCTGCAGGGTACAATCAGGCAAGGAAATAATTGCACCCTCTGAGACTTTGCATGTCAGGATGGGAAAAATCAATTCTATCACGCCAAGATCTGTCACCGCAGGAGGTCACTAAAAACTGCTAGCCATCCTGCGGTACTGCAGTCTTTAAAGGTAATTTTTACAAGAAAAAGCACACAAATTGGAAGTGCAGTGGGCCCATTCTTTAAGAATCTATAGGCAGGGCAGAGGGCAGCTAAAACACACCCAGGGAGGTATTTTCCTCTGCGCTCCCCTTCCCAGCGGTGTTTACTGAGGAAACAAACGAGGATCCACTCAAGTGCCCGCCTGATGTAGAAAAACACGCATGTGCTGAATCCATTAGAAAAGTGCTCAATAATATCCTTCTCAGGAAAATATCGGCCTTGTCGTGGCTCCAAATCCAGCCTCCCCACAGGTGATCTGCCACAAGCAGAGGGTGCTGGGCAAGATCCACTGCCCTTGGGGGCTCCCCTGCCTTTCTCCCCACAACCACAGGGTGCTCTCCTACATCTCCATCAAGGCCGCTCCAGGTGACAAACACCTCTCAGCTTGAAAGAACACCTGGAGGGCCTGAGAGCAGCACGAATTAAACATCCAACACAGCTCATGCACCAGGTCGCCCATCTCCTCCAACCCTGCCATGTGAGCCTCACCGTGCTCTCACCAGTCCACAAAACGGCGTTCCTTTGTTCCCTCCCAACTTCAGCCTTAAGAGGAACCTGGTGCCTGCGAGATCTGAGTTAACAGGGTCGTTCGCCAAGACACAGCAGTCCCAGTGTGTAGCTGGGGCCTCGGAGCAGGCCTGCCGCCCTTGCTTCTTGTACTCTGGCGGCCTTTTTGCTGAGAGCTAGGGTTCCCAAACAGGCTGCACCCCAGCAAACTGAACCAGGGGCACCAAAAAACTATTCAGGTGCCTAGACAACAAGATTGTTTGATGCCAAAAATGAATCCCAAAGGTTAGCCTGAACAAACTCTTCTGATCATGTGGAAACACTGTTCTCTAATTGGTTTAAGCAAACTAAGGGCATCGTTAGGGCCACTCACCATTACTAGCTATTCGCAGGACACCACAGATGGGGACTAGCAGAACAGGGCACCAAGAAGACAGCTGTTGTAATGATTCAAAGAGAATGATGTTGCCAATTTGCAAATGCTCTTCTTGTTTTCCTCTTTGAACCAGACAAGGGGGTCAGAACAGAATCTGTCCCCAAAGTCATACAACCTGACCTGCAATGTAGTCTCTGCTCCTACTGTCTTCCTTCTGTCCCATCCTCTACTGAACAACATTTTACAGAGTTGCTTGTAGGGAACACATCAGACAACGGGTGGTGCCTGACACACACACACACAGGACACATATTACACAGAGTATGTATTAATCAAAACTACCACAGCACAAAACAGACTGCTTCAAGAGCCAGCATTGCGCCGCATGGAAGAAACACTGGATGTAGTTTTTGGACTTGAGAAGGTACCATCTCTCGTTGACCACACCACAATTTACTGCTATTGGGAACATTTATGAAACCAAAGGGGATATAGTTATATAAGAAGGAATTTTCTTTGCCACAAGCAACTATGACTAAATCTATTTTAATACGGTGCTGACTTGATTATTTTTTGAGAATGAGATTGGCATGTTGTGGTTCCACATTTTTCCTTAATGATAATTTACACTCATCTCCCTGAAAGGGAAGAAGTGATTTTGTTTCCTCTGCTCGTACTATATCATGATCTGTGCATACCAATGATTCACACTGGGGTTTCCCAATGTAGAAACTGTGACCAAGAGTCATCTATTTTGCATTTTAACTCATCCCTGAGTGAGACATCTTTGATTAACGTCTTGCAAAGATATTCTTTTAAACTTTGGGTTAAATGAATACATCATCTTTTCTCTTGCTAAGTGTTCCATCTGTTTGTGAATTAAAAAATATTGAAAAGTAAGGGCCGGGCACAGTAGCCTAGCAGCTAAAGTCCTCACCTTGCATGTGCTGGGATCCCATATGGGCGCTGGTCGGTTCGTGTCCCAGCTACTCCACTTCCCATCCAGATTCCTGCTTGCGGCCTGGGAAAGCAGCTAAGGATGCCCCAAAGCCTTGGGACCCTGTACCCACATGGGAGACCCAGAGGAAGCTCCTGGCTGTTGCAACTATTTGGGGAGTGAATCAGTGACAGATCTTCCTATCTGTATATCTGACTTTCCAATAAAAATAAATAAATCTTTAAAAAATATTGAAAAGTATATTAAAAAAGAAGAGCTACTAGTAATTCCACCTTGAGTGACAACTACCATGAACACACTCTACCTTATTTTTCATTCCTCTACAAAATTCAAAGTTAATGCTGGATCCCAGGAAGAGTTCTGATTCAATACCACATCACTGCATTTGCCATACATTTCCATTATATGGCTGTAGCTTCATTTAGCCAAGTATCTGACTTTCCTCTTCACAAAAAAATGCTGTAAGAAATATTTTGATTTTTTTAAACCTATTTTTGGTAGTTTCTTATGGATTCCAATGGACACCGAGAACAGGAACATGACCCAGCACGGGAAGAGACACGCCAGGACCCTCCCTCATACCTGGCCGTAGCAGCCGGCGTAATGGATGAGGCTGGGGAAGTCCCTGGAGCAGCTCAGTTCTGCGATGGCTTCTGTCTCACTCACCATCCAGCGCACACACTCCAGCTGGCCATTCTAGGGTCACAGAAAGGAAGGAAGGGAACTCAGGGTTAAAAATATCTCAGAGATGGCTCTTATGGCTGTCTTCATTTCCTGATGGTATAAATGTATCACATATTATAACCATGATTTGTGGTTCTGTCTCTAAATCAATTGCAAAACTTACTTAAACACATGCTCATAATTTTCTCCTGACTTTTTTTTTTAAACCAGTATCCAGGAAGGTTTCATAATATCCACTAGCTATTTTAAAATCACTTCATTGAGGTCTAATTTGCACATTATAAACGTACTTTTTAATTGCACATTTTGACGAATTTTAATTCATATCTGTACCCTTTCTACTACCATTCCAGTCAAGACAAAGGCCATTTCCATTAGGTGAGATGAATTTGCTGCTTTCCTTGGCTTTCGCCCCCTCCAGGATTGCATGGGAACCCTGCATCCCATATCTGGGGGTCTGCGGCTTCCTGTTAATGAGCACACCAGGAGGTTGGTGGGGATGGCACAAGTACTTGAGTTCCTTCCATCCACAAAGGAAATCCAGATTAGTTTTGGGGTCTCTAACTTCAGCCTGTCCATCTTCTATTTACTGTGGGATTTGGGGAGTGAGCCAGTAGATTAGAGATCTCTCCGTCTTTCAAAACAATCAACATGAATTGAAGGAAATTAATCTTCTTGTCTACTTATAATCCTTTATCAAGTATTCACTGTCTGGCACTATGAGGGCTTTTGAAAAATGATTAAGTAAACAGTTACAACAGAACATTCACACATCCAGAGAGGGAGTCCTCCCTGTCGCTTACTGAGTAGTGAGTATGTCATAACCCAAGGATTAACACCCAGACAGCCTCTGAAATGGGCTGAAACCTTTTCTTCTTTGATAATTTTCTCAGCTATGAAACAGCAGGGGGAGACAGTGAAAACTCAGCACACACAGTGAAGGTTAAACGAAACAGAACAGTTGTACAAAACACACAACCTACACTGCCCCTTCCACTGCACCATGTGCTCTCGGTGCTTCTCCCCAGGCCTGCCTGAGCAGAGACACTCAGTGCCTGCCTGTGTGCTGGGCTACACTGGACTGGAGCAGGAGGAAGGCCATAAGGAGGGCACCGAGCTAGCATAATAGGATTTGTTCTCTATTTTTAGAATTGTAACATTTAACAATGTTCTTGAGGGAAAAAGTTCATGCTTAAAAGCAAGATGGAGGAGGCAGTTTCTGCCCATTTTCACTCTATCTGGACAATGGAACTAAAAAAAAAAAGAACTTAAAGATTTTTCTGTTTGTTTGAAAGATAGTTACAAACAGAAATGGGGAGACAGAGAGATTTCCCATCCTTTAGTTCACTCCCCAGATGGCCACAATGGCCAGGGCTGAGCCAGGCTATAGCCAAGAGCCAGGGGCTTCATCTGACTCTCTTACAGGGGTGGCCCTTAGCAAAGAGCTGGATCGGAAGTAGAGCAGCTGGATATGACGTGGCGCCAATCTGGGATTCCAGCAATATTGTGGGTAGTGGTTTAACCCACTGTGCCACAGTGCCAGCCCTGAGAAGATTTCAAGTGGAAGCTCATGACTGTTCCCACAGAGTTGGCCTGCTGGAGGTATTTACTGACATTGCTTCAGGTGCCCCATTCACCTTTCAGCATGCCTGTCTTGCTGCTACGGGAGGGTGGACTGCATGGCCTGGAACCCAAATCCGAGTTTCGTCGTACCTCTCTGGGTTGCGACCCTTATGCTCCTGGCTCCCTGCCATGGAGTGCCATGGGTCAAAGGAGCCCATCAGTTAAGGTCAACAGTCAGCCAGTATTTTATTTATTGTTATTTATTTGAAAAGCAGATGAGAATATATATATACATATATAATGGAGAGAGAGAAAGAGGAGAGAGAAGGAGAGAAGGAAAAGGAAGAGAAAAGAGAGAGAAAGAAGAAAGACTTCATCCCTGTCTCACTCTACAAATGTCCCTATCACCTGCTGTTTCACGAGGTGGTTACCAGCAGGAAACTGGATCAGAAACAGAAGCCGACTCAATCCCAAGAACTCTGATCTGGGGTGTCAGTGTTCTAAGGGATGGCTTAACTCCACCTGCCAGCTTCTAGCTAAGACCTCTCCACCTCTGGTTCCTACAGCTTCTCTTCTCCCCGTTCCCTGTGGCCTCAGGGGTGCTGGCCACGCCCTGGTTGTTGGCAACCTCAGGATATGACATTTTCCTTAGTGGACTCTGTCCACACCACCCACTCCCTTAGGTATTATGCCTCCGTTACAGTCACTTGAGACCTTCACACTTTGAGCAGGTCTAAAACTTCCTGTCAGAATTAAACAGCAAATAAACAGAAACAAAATCACTTTTCAGTGTCCTTCATTTCTTTCAGATAAAGAATGGAAGAGGGCCGTACTGATGACCTAGGAGCCAAGACAGCCTACAAAAATTGTTTATTTATGCAGAACACATTTCTTATTTTAATCATTTGAGGCTTCATCATTTTTCGTCCATCAGTAAATGTTTATCTTTTTTAATATCCTTTCAGAAGCCAAAAATTTATTTGGGGGGATTTCTCTTCTCTACTGCATTTATTTCTATGCAAACTTCATTTCCTCATTCCTAAGGTAGAAGATTAGGTTGCTGATGTGAGAGCTTCTTTGTGCCCACCCCTCCTGTGTTCCCTCTAACACAGGCTCTGACAGCTACACATATCTCAGTGAGCACTGCTTCAGCTATCTCCTGTAAAAGCCGGCATGTTGCATTTTCACTAATTTTTAAATATTTTCTAATTTCCTCTATGATTTTTGCATTTGACACACAGATGATTTTTGGAGTGTGTTCACCTAACGTTATCTATGACCATCCCAAATTTCCTTGTGCTTCTGATTCCTGATTGCATCCTATTATGGTGAAAGGACATAATTATATTTCAATCCTTCTAAATGTGAGCCCTGTTCTACACAGCATGTGCTCTTGACAAAATGTGAGATGTGCTATTGTTAGGTAGAGTGTTCTGCCAGATGGGTTAGGATGAGTTAGTCAAGGAGGCAATAAAACGCTGTTAGAGAGGCAGGAGGAAAAAAATGCATAACCAGGAGTTTGAAATCAATATCACCTGCTATAAATCTGCATACCAAAGAAACCAACCATGTTATTACATTTTCGTAGGAGATTTTGCCTGCCAAAGTGTTTAGCCTGGGGTCACTCACGGTGTGTTGCCAAGGAATGTCAGTGAGGGTCTGTGTTTGAAGTTGTGTCATCACCACAGCAAGGCTGTGCCTTTGGGCTTAATTAGAAAGACTGAATGAGAAATGAAAAGAGAATTAAGGTTATCTCATGCCAAGTCTGTTTGGCTCCCCGAAATAATTTCTTCTGCGGGACCCAGTTCAGGAATCAGACTGTTCTCACCTTGCAGAAATGTCTTCTTCCAATTGCTTTGTTTAACCGTTTCCAAAGGGCGCTCAATAAAGCCTGGAACTCCCACAGTCCCTGCTCCTGGCTTCCCGGAAAGCATGTGGTGCTTTGTGCACTGAGTAGCAGGGGAGAGATTCTGCTTTGATGCTGAAAGCCCCTTTCTCGGGAGCTCCTGCTACCTGCTGCCTATCTCTGACTCTGCTTCCCATCAGCCAGGTCTACACTGCAATAAGCGTGTCTGTCTACAGTGGTGGCAAGGCTCTCGGCAAGGCATTTAATGAAATGAAACATCACCATTAAGTTCCTGGTGCTGAATGGACCGGGGCAGGAAATGTTTCGACAGTCTGTGGTGTTTGCTCTAAAATACTGAGATTCACTACTTTCATACACTCTAGATTAAATAAGGGATGACAAGAACGCTTCCATTTCCTACACCATGGCTCAGAAATGAAACACAGGGGCTGGTGGTGTGGTCTAACGTGTTAGTCCACCGCCTGCAATGTTGGCATTCCAGATGGACTCCGCTTGAAGTCTTGGCTGCTCCATTTCCTATCCAGCTCCCTGCCTCGTGATCCTGGGAAGACAGTGGAAGATGACCCAACCCCCGTGGCGCTGCTACTCATGTAGGAAACCCCAGGGAGCACCTGGCTTTTGGCTTTGGCCTGGCACAGCTTCAGCTGTTATGACCATTCAGCTGTTATGACCATACTGGGTGGAAGATAATCTTCTACAAAAGGCCTGAGATCCCAGATCTGTACACATTTTTGAGACTTTCAAGTTTGATGTGAGTTTTCTATTCCAAACTAAAGCCAACCCAAAACTGCTGTGCAAGCCTGCATACTGACTATATGATGCAGATTCTATGTGTTAAATTACAGACTGACTTAAAGATTAGTACAGACAGACATCGCAGGACATGCCAACACTGAGGGTCGGCTCTGTGAACGCCATTTCTTTTGTACCTTTCCACCTAGAGTTGTTTAATCTATGAAAATAAGCACTGTGGCATATACATTTAAAATTTTCTTTACCCAACTGTATATTTAGGAGATAAGTAATGTATCACTGACCATGAAAAATGAGAACTGTAGTTTATAAACACTACAGCTTCCAAGTAAATTTCAACTTTCGCTTACATCCTAAAAGTATTCATCAGTGTCACACGCCCAGTGATGGGTCCTCCCGACAGACAGGTGTCTATCTCCCTGTATGTGTGCCTTAGCCACCAGGCTGTGCACTCCTTAACAGGAGGGACTGTGCTGCGTTGGCATCGCCAGGATCTGAGCAGTCCTGGTGCAGCACTGAGTAGTACCTGGTGCTTGGAACCCATGATTTGGCTCAGTGACACTGAACTTTTGATTTGGTTTCTTGTGCGTCATGAGGCCTGCCAGGAGCACAGCTCTTCATCTGACAACCAAAGGAAAATAATGCCTGCCAAAGTCACCACCTTCCTATTCTGCAAAAAAATTAGCTTCTATATTATTTTGAAAGTCATAGCTCACCACTGAGCAACAATCTTTAAAAAAGAAACTTTTTAAAACTGTATAGAATTTTACCAACTGGAAAACAAACTAAAAGCAAAACAAAAGATATATTAGGTTCAGATGGCAACTGACTTTTTTCAAAAGTAACATGGTCTTTTTTTTTCCCCATGAATTCGTAAGTAGAATTATTTCACTAGTGAGTTCCAGTCAGTATCAATGTAATCCCATTTATAAAAATTATGATATGCAGCTTATAGAGGACACGACTATTATGTAATGTGGAGTACTGCTGCAGAAGCACCAGCTGTATTCTATTTCCCTGAATGTCACTTCTGGCTTGTGAATAAAGATGGCTGAACTCTGCAATGATTTGCCAAAGATCTTCAAAGTAATCCTAGTTAAATCATTAACCTTCCCGTGACGCGTAAGGTTTCACAGAGGCACTGGTTCCAGCGCTGTGAACTATAGTGCCCCATGCTTTTGTGCATTTAGTTTTTCAGTTTTAACTCTATCTTGGCACCAATCTGTGCAGTTTCTGTAGACATACCATACTTTGCAAGAGCTAAATAAAACTGCAGCAGTGAAACCTGAAACGTGGAACAATGGGTACTGTGGAAGGTGAAATTGCCAAGGGCATCTCTCAAACCTGACTTTCGGAGCTGTTGAGATTCCCAGTGTGCCAGCAACTCCTTCCAGCCCTCCTTTACACCTCCCTGTGCTCAGCATGCTCACACCAGGAAGAAAAGCGAACTGTCCTCTGATGGATCCAGGTGTGGCTGGGGGCAGAGAGCTCCCACAGCCACACCAGACCACCCTCCACCTCTTTCTTGGCTGATCTGCATGCTGCCTTCACTGGACTGTAGCCTGGAACATGATCTCAGAACCTCCGAGCACCAGCATGGAACTGCCCCACATTCACTTGCTGCAGGCTGGATGGACACATTCCTCTCCCTTCCGACCCAGAGGCTCCCAAGGACTCTAAGGAAAAGGCAGTGCCCGCTCACCTTGATGGCCAGGCCAGCAGGAGTCAGCTTGCCTGCATTGCGCTCGTTGAGGCCGTCTTCCCCCATCAGGGAGGTGAGGTGCTGCAGGCACTCAGCATGCCCCTGTGAGGCGGCGATGTGCAGCAGGTTGTTCCCATTCTCGTCATGAATCTTGTCCAGGTTGTCTGCTGCAAGGTGTGGCTATGCAGAGTAAGGTGAGAGAGCTAAGTCAGGAGGCAGAACAAGATGCCAAGATGTGGTGGATACAGGGCAGAACAAACGAGCTGTGTAGGCAGTGTGGAAAACCAGCCAGTCAGAGCTGTTTGCTGGGACTCTCGGTGATGACACGTTTTAGGTCATGAGGTCCCAGGAGACAGCTATTCATGTGAGCCTGGCACCAGTGCAGGGCCAATGAGCTATGAGGCTACTGGCTGGCTGTGCCAACAATCGCAATGACATTTTCTGGCAGGTTCCTCGTCTGTCTCCTTGAGGACTTGGGCTGTGTTGTAGGGGTGCAACAGCTTGCTTCCACCAGCTTACCTGGCCATGAATCGTAGACAACGGGCCTGGACTACAGACTCTGACACCTGCTACTACTTGTGGTCTTGGTGCGTGCCTGAGACACTATCATCTACACCGCCTCCAGGGGCTTTGGGAGGCTCGCTGGCCTTCTGCCTCCTCACTGCCAGTGAATTTAGATCCCTTGCGTGTGATGGGTGGATTGAGAGTTGTGCGAATGGAGGTGCTAGCACTTGAGAAACAGGAAAAGACATTGAGGACAGAGGAAAGCAAAGGTTCATAGAGAATTAGAGGAGATGAGCCAGGGCAATGAAAAAGACATTTTCAGGAGAAAGAAAAATTGGCAAAATTGTTCCATCATGTTGTCCTTTCACAAAACTATTTGTAATAACAGCCAGAGTATGTTCTACTTCTCTCTGTATGGCTTTATGCTAAGTAGAATCCCATGCCAAAGCACAGTGACTTCCTCGAAGGCAACTCTCAGTAGCATTAGTGTATATGCCCATGCACGCTACTACGCTATTTCAGGCTAGCTATTTGCAATCCTTCAGAAAGCTTGCTCAAGCTCCCTAGACGATCAAAGCTGGAACTAAACCAGAAAAAGTCCCTTGTGTGTGAGAGGACAGGCAAACCATGGAGTAAACCTCTATCTGCAAACACTTCTCCAACACCCCAGGCCACCTCTTCTGCACGGCAGCCAGGATCAAACACAGGAACCTCTGTTCACACGGCTGGCAGGTCCATCGTGAGTGAGGGGTTCACACTCCTCATCCCTCCCCAAAAACAGTGAGGGCATTTGGGACCACCGTACAGGCTCAATGTTGTTCTTGTATTAGATTAAAAGCCTTATTCCAGCAGAATTCATGCAAAGTTAAGATGAGAAATAATGCCCCCTCTGCAAACTGTCTTCCCATATTCATCTTTCAATTTTTTCTTTAAAAGCTCAATAAGACACACCCCCTAACTAAAGCTGCAAGATTAAGCAAGGAGCCAAAGAGATGCATCATCGTTCCATGCCTTACAAACAGAGCTGACAAGGCCAGAATCCAGGATTAGGAATGTGTCTACGATAGGAGAGGCCACTCACCAGGAGAGAGATCTGCCCTTCTCTGACGATGTTCAGGATGCTCCTGACTTTGTTCTGGTACTCCGTCCTCTCCTCAGGTCCCTGGCAGCTGGTCCAGCTCACACCATTAACTGGCTCTTCCAACTTGGTTTCTGCTGCTGAGCAGGGCAGGCGGAAGCCTCGCAGCTGGCAGTCTGACAGGGCCTTCTCGACCCTTCCGCTGGGCAGCTCTGAGAAGGCCTTGTTCACCAAGTCTCCGCTTTGGTTCTCGGGCTCGTATGTGGAGCCACACTGGACCAGAGCGGGCATGCTCTCGGGTTCCTCCGGGCCCAGCTTGTGCTGGTCGTGGACTATGGTGGGTGCTTTTCTCAAGTGAGGACTTTTCACGGGAGACAGGACACAGAAGGGCGTCATGGTGGATGGCGGGTTCTCAGCACCTCCAGCAGAACATGCTTTACTGGTGGCAAGGCCATTGAGGGTAGTGCACAAACCCAGAATTCTTTTTTCCGAGGTTGCCTTGGTGAAAGAGGCAAGCTGCTGGCTGGACTTGATGTAAGGCACATCCAGGATCTCATCCATGTCCAGGTCATAATGCTCCAGCTCGCCCAGTGAGGCGGGGGGCTCTGAGCCCTTCCCGGGCGGTCCGCCCACTCCCTCTTCAGGGCCAAGCTCCTCCGGCTGGGGGCCTGTGTCAGCATCACCTCCTTTCTGGAAGTCTACCTTCTGGTTCTTCTGGTCATCGCTCTCATTGCTCTCCAGAGTCTCTGGCTGGTGCTTCAGCGGGGAAACGCGCTTCACCGGGCGGAACTTGCTGTACACGTCGGCAATCCCTGTGGGCTTCTGTGTGTTCGTAATAAGAGTAGAGATGCCACAATTCCAGCCAGAGCTAGAAACTGGTCATGCAGGGGTTAAAAGGGGACACTGTTAAATCAGAAGGCCAAACACCTCTTGACCAAGCATGCCCAGTCTATTCAACTCAAGTTCAGAATCAGCCCCAGGGTACAGGTATGCCTTTGAGGACACACACAACCAGCAATTCACATTGAGCACTGGAAGACCATGAATGGTTAACAGAAAGCTGTGATGTGATGACTCAAAGCACAGGTGGGCACATGTGGCACAGTGGCTTAAGATTGCCACGGTCAAACGCAGCTTCTCTGCTTCCGATCTGGGCTCCTGCTCACGCGTCTGGGCATATAACAGATAGTAGCTGAAGTATGTGAGGCCCTCCAACTCACACCGGTGACCTAGACAGAGTTCTTGGCTCGTGGCTTCGGCCTAGTGTGCACCCGGCAGGTGCTGGCATTTGGAGATTTCTCCGTCACTCTGATTTTCAAACAATTAGATCTTTACAGGTTGATCAGTAGTGGTAGTAATAGTGAGAGAGAACAACTGAAGAAAACAAGCCTGTGCAGAGAGTCAGGCTTACTCCCTGGATAGATCACACTGGCTCCTGGCTCCACACTGGAAGGTGGGATTAAAGGACAGGACTCTGTATTAATACAAACTAATTTAGGGAGAAAGGAGGCTCCACACTCATGTGCACATTCCTAGAACAGCAGCGTGGTCAGCCATTGTGCAGGGGGTTTCCTTGTCATTCATTTTGGAGCATGGCTGAGCAACATAATGCATTCCCATCTCCTCATGCAGCCTCCTCTTTAAGATTCAGTGCTATTCTCCACTGTTGGGAATGCTGGGAGCCACCAGCAGAAGAACCACCAGGGAGAATGGGGCAGGTAGTGTGGTTTTGGTTTTTTCTCTTTGCTTTGCTGAGTGTAGCAGAGATGTGTGTTGTCTGCATTAAGTGAGTAAGTAAGCCTGGCTGAGCTGAAGTGGGAAGTGAGACAGACACACATGGAAGTGAAACCACACCACCTCTCCCAGTCAGTGGCATCTCCTCTCCTCAGCCATAGGATAGTACTTCCTCCAGGAACCACTTCTCTGCTCTACTGCCAGGTGACCCAGGACCCTCAGAGGCCACTGCTCTGTGGGCTTCTACTCCATGCTTCCTGTGTACCGTCTCCTCCCTGGCACGCCCTGAACTATGGCCCTTCTTGTTTGTCCCTCCCTGCTCCCTGAAATGGCAGCAGGTGCGAAGTGTTTGCCCCAACACATGTGCAGGTGGGTGGTGTCTGCTCTGGAGCACAACCAAAGACTGAAAGAACCCAACGCGAGTGTGTCGTCAGGTCTGTAACTTCTGCCACAGTCAAAGAGAAGAGTGACAGATCTGCGGGGTCAAAGTGCTTGTTATGAAGGCTCCTTCACCTCAGACCACTCACCACTCTTCCCTACCAGGGACGTGTGCTAAGGACGAAGAAGAGCTCTGAGATCGAGGGAAGCGGGTGAGTTTTGGAACCTGAAAGTTGTGTTTCTGCCAGTGAGTTCTTTGTCCCACATGGACAACAGTTTGGCCTGGGGTTCCAGAGGAGCTGCACCATGGGAGCAGATGTAAAATCTTTCTGGAATGAGCATTTCAGAGTCTAAGGAGGAAGTACTGTGAGCTGTGGAGTGAGGTTAGGATTCTCTCCAGTAAGCAGAGTATAACACCGTGCTTTGGTAGGAAGCCAGGAACCTAGATGGTGGCAGAACCGGCCCCTCTTCCCCTCCGTGGGCTCTCACTTCCAGTTTTACCCAGACAACCAACAAATGCTACTATACAAATTTGGATCTCATTTCCTACAGAACTCAAAACCTGTGAAAAAGTCACAAAGAGCATCCTTCTGGTGGATTCACACCTTGATTGGACAAGGGACAAAAGTCCTGGTCATAAATTCAGAGTAATAAAGTACAAGGTAAAATTTCCAAAGTTATTTATACAATGCAACTAAGAAAAGGGAAAAACAACTAATTGCCGTTGTCCCCATACAAGTTTAAAAGTCTCCTAACTTTTTAAAGTTCTTTTCTCACTAAAGATGTGAAGCTATGAAATATTAAGGTCTGCCAGAAGTTTCCACCACGTTTTTCTTTTGCTGTTCAAGAACAAATGGTGACTTACTTACTGCAAACAGGAGTGAGAGGGAGAGAGAAGAAGGAAGAACATAGAATTTTTCAGGCTCAAGTACGTCTTTTATTGTACTCATCAGCTTTCTGAAAAACTTTAAATTATAGGTTAAAAAATGTGTTATATTTAGGATGTTTGAAACACATACTTATTAGGTATGGTATTTGCTAATATCTTGCCAACTACCTTGATTTCTTCAGAACTTCAAGAAAATGCGCATCTCAGAGTGTAATAAAAACAACATAAAGATACACAATTTCATGGGCCAATACAATGAGTGCATTGTACCAACCAATGTATTTATATACCCTACCAGGTCATGGGTTCAAAGGGTTCATAGTCTTTTATGTTGGCTTTATTTACATGTGGAATTTTTTCCAAGTGATACAGAGCAATGGATACCATATGTTTCCCAGCTGTTCCTGTTCTGACAGGAGCCATTAAGAACGCTCTATGGAGATGAATTCTGTCTGAGTCTGAGCAAAAACACTTCTCTCTACAGAAGGGTCTAGAAACTAAAGAGGGAACATCAACGTTTAGGCTTGTTGCCCTATCCTTACTCAAACCCATGACTCTTTCAGGCTGAGGGTAGAATCTAGGCTTTCTAGTCTGCATATTAACTGCCAAGAAAAAAAAATTCCAGCTACGATAAATGAATTATTGGATGGCCTCTAACTTATTGCTCTATCATATACTTGGATGAGAAGAAGGGCAATTTTAAGCCAAATGCAAGACATTTGATTAATTTATTTTTCTGGATATATGAGCTGGATGGATAGATAATTTAAGCACAACACTAAAAAAGACACAGACTCACCACACTTTTGCTTCCAATTTTTAAGTCTACCCAGAATTCCACTTACACTCTTACTCAGCTCCAATGCCATAATAAATGTCTTAACTAACAAGGAAAAAAAGTTCAGACTAAGCATGGTTATTAAGAAGACTTAAATTGTGAAAAACACTCTTCACATGTGAACAAAATTTAAATTGCCAAAAGGTTTAATCTATTTTAGACTTTTATAATCTCCATGATAATGGAGATTTCATGTAATTTTTCTCCCTTAAAGTAGCCAGCAAATTGCCTTACAAATGTAAATTCTTGTCTGAATGACTTTTTGGTTGGATGAGTTCAATTTGTTGAATGTTTTGTAACATCCTACAGAAACAAACCATGCCTAATGTACCTGAAATCTGCCTGCTACTGATTGTCACAAATCCTCTGAAGTGCCCAGTAGGTAAATGGGCACGGACTTGATGCTGATTCATGGACCAGAAGTTATCTTGTTGAATCGTGCTGACATTTATAACACCTCTGGCTTTTGGGAAGGCGTTTCCACGACACGCTAAGCATGCACAATAAGCCAGCCACTGATTTATTCAACAGCCATTTACCAAGGTCCTGAGATGGGCAAGGATCTGTGACCGGCATATTCCTAAGCAGGGCCTTATCTCTCTTCACCTTTGCTGGTCATCCTGTCCCCCTCTCAGCCAACACACACACACACACACACTCTCACACACTCTCTCTCTCTCTCTCTCTCTCTCTCCTCCTCTCTCTCTCTCCCCCTTTCTCTTTCTCTCTTTTCCCCCTCCCTCTCTCCCTCCCACCTTCGCCTTCAGTCTTCTGTAGATTTTTTGTGCTTTGGCCTGGATTATACATGACCGTTTATGCAGCCTCCCAAGCAATTTATCTCTAAGACATTACTGACCCTTCTCTTTCCTTGACCTCTGGCCCACATCCCTCAAGCACTAAGCCCTGCTGTGGCTTTATTTCAAATCCTCTTAAATCTTGGGCCATTTTCTTCAGCCTCAGTGCATCGCCTGGGCCACACTGGGATCCTCTCTTACAGCCTTGCAGAATTTTCCCTGCGTCTCATAAGTTATTGCTTGGACATTTTGCAAGGGACCCTGGTTCTCTATTTACCACAGTCACAAAGCTTCCTGTTAAAAAAAGCATATTTAAAAGATGTTTCAGAAAGATATGTTAAGTAACACCACAAGGACACTTCAAAAAGTTCATGGACAAAAAATGGAAGAAAAAGGTGCTTTGGTGCAAAGGCTGTTAAGGTTTATGCAAACTGTTTTCATTATGCAAATTTTGAATGAACTTTTTGGAGACTCTTTGGGTATGTGGTGTACAAATAAAGCAAAAACAACCTAGGTAGGCCTTGCACAGAACACATGCTGCAACAGCTGCACTGTTAAGTGAACTTTGCATACCACGCTTTTCTTCCACCATTCCTGCCCTTGCCTGCTTCTCCTTGTCCTACAATGTCTCCTCTTTCTTCTCCATCTACTCTCTTGATCTTGCACAGCACTGTACTTCACTTCCCAGCACTCCTTCAAGCTCCCAGGGAACAGCTACTCCTGGCTTATCAGTCCTTCAGCATTACCTGCACCTGACTACAGACAGCTGGGCCATTTTCAAGTTCTGCGGTAACAATTCTCACAGGCAGCTACCCCACCTTCTCCTCCGAGAGTTCCTCAGGGAGAACACTGTCTGAAACCTACTTGACAACCAGATCTTTGTCTAACACAGCAGCTCAAAGATACCGGGGCTCAGTGTCTAAATCTTTCAGTGAATGAATGAGTACACTAGAAGGGAGAAGAGTGAGGGAGCGAGGAAGGACCATACCAGACTAGAGATGCCAAGTACAGTCGACAAGCACACGCCTTATTGTGAGTAAACTGCATGCCTCAGTGCTGATATTCCATAAAGACAGTGTTAGTAAGCTGCTGAAGATGACCCCAAGTGTTAAACAGATACATTTCCTTTGGTAAGTTCCATGCCTCGGTCTCCCAATCTGTAAAAGGAAGGGGTTAGGCAACCAATGGCGAAGACTGGATCCACCCCACCCCACTTCTCTGGCCATATGGAATATCCACAAA